TCAGGCTGGCAGTGGAGGGCAGTTGGGGATGAGATCAGGCCAGCAGTGGAGGGCAATTGGGGGTGATCAGGCCTGCAGGGGAGGGCCATTGGGGATGACCAGGCCGGCAGGAGAGGGCTGTTGGGGGTGATCTGGCCGGCAGGGGAGGGCAGTTGGGGGCAATCAGGCTGGCAGGGGAGCAGTTAGGGATGATCAGGCAGGCCGGCAGAGGGGTTAGGGGTAATCAGGCAGGCAGGCAGTGTGGTCAGGGGTGATCAGGCAGGCAGGCAGGTGAGTGGTTAGGAGCTAGTGGTTTCAGATTGCGAGAGGGATATCGGACTGCCAGTTTTGGGCTGACCTGGCCTGCGGGGATTGGGCCTAAACTGGCAGTCAGACATCCCCCATGGGGTCTCTGATTGGAGAGGATGCAGGCTGGGCTGAGGTAACACTCCTCCCCCCCACCCCCATGCACGAATTTCGTGCACCTGGCCTCTAGTATATCCTACCTAATAAAAGAGAAACATGGTAATTAGCCGTATGTCCGCTACCCTTCCCATTGGCTAATCAGGGCTGCCGGAGTCCATTCATTGTCTTCACTAGCTGAGTTTAGACAGAGACCCCCCAAAAGCTAGTAACCTTTGAAGTTCTAGCAAAGGTCAGAACTGTGCACCACCCAGTTAATTTAGGTAATAATAGTTGAAGCATCCCCACCTTAGTTCCCTTAATTCCTTAGATACTTATGTAGATCCTTGTTGATTATTGTTAATCAGATACTCTGCCTACTCCTGGAAATCTATTGATGAGCTAATCAGATACTTTGTCTATTCCTGGAAATTGTTTGCTGATCTGTGTGTCATTGAAACCTCCTTACCCTAAGGGCTACTCCAGATCAATAAAAGATTGGAGCAGCCTGAGCAGTGGTGGAAGTCCTTCGGGACTTGTCCGCCTGGTCCCCCAAATATTGCAAAATTATCTTGTGTCATTTTCTCTCATTTGTTGTGCGGCTTCTCTTTCAGATACTAAACCCTACTCCACGCAGAACGTGGAGGGAGTCTTACTTGACACAGGGCGATATGCAAATTAACTGCCAGCCAAGATGGCAGCCGGCAGCCAGGCAGCTTGAAGCAAACATGAGGCTTGCTTGCTTCAGTGACGGAGGACTCCAACGTTTCCCGCCTGCCGCTGCCAGCCTCTGAGCTTGCAGTTTGAAACATTGTTACAAATATAGAAGATAAACAAAACCCCAGAAACCTGCTTTCAGTCAGCCGGGATCTCAGAACTGGAGTTGAAACAGTGTTTCGATTATAGAACCCAAACAAAACAGATGGAGCAGAAGCCTAAGAGCTGGAGCCAAGCCCCAGAGCTAAAGCTGGCCCAGAATAAAAAAAAAGAAAGAAAAAAAGGAGCGGTTGGGAGCTTCAGTCACCCGCCAGCCTGAAAACAGCCCTCAGCCCCTCACCCAGACTGGCCAGGCACCCCAGTGGGGGCCCCCACCCTGATACAGGACACCCTTCAGGGCAAACCAGCCGGCCCCCACCCATGCACCAGACCTCTATCCTATATAGTAAAAGGGTAATATGCCTCCCAGCACCAGGATCAGCGGAGCCGCAAGGCCTCCTGGCACCGGGATCAGCATGACAAGGGGCAGTGCCCAAACCCCCTGATCACCCTGCGGCTCTGTATGTGACAGGGGGCGGGGCCACAACCTCCCTACCCGCCCTGCTCTGTTCGTGACAGGGGAAGGCACCCCAACCCCCTGATCAGCCCTGCTCTGTGCCTGATAGGGGGGAGCTCCCCAACCCCCTGATTGCCCTGCGGCTCTGTGTGTGACAGTGGCAGCGCCCCAACCCCCTAATCGGCCCTGCTCTCTGGGTGATAGAGGGCGGCGCCCCAACCGACCCCCATGGGCCCTGCTCTGTGTGTGATAGGGTAGAGCCATAACCTCCCCATCGGCCCTGCCCTGAGTGTGACAGGGTGCGGCGCCCCAACCCCCTGATCTGCCCTGCTCTGTGTGTGACAGGGTGCGGTGCCCCAACTCCCCTATTAGCCCTACCCTGAGTGTGACTGAGGGTGGCATCGCAATCTCCCTATCCGCCCTGCTCTGTGCATGACAGGGGGCGGCGCCCCAACCCCCTGATGGGCCCTGCTCTGTGCGTGACAGGGGGGAGCTCCCCAACTCCCTGATCGACCCTGCTCCATGCGTGACAGGGTACGGAGCCCCAACCCCCCAGATGGGCCCTGCTCTGTGAGTGACAGAGGGCAGCGCCCCAACCCCCTGATTGGCCCTGCTCTGTGCGTGACAGGGGGTGGTACCGCAACCTCCCCATCGACCCTGCCTTGAGTGTGACAGGGGGCGGTGACCCAACCCCCCAATCGGCCCTACCCTGAGCGTGACTGAGGGTGGCATCGCAACCTCCTGATCCGCCCTGCTCTGTGCATGACAGGGGGCAGCGCCCCTATCAGCCCTGCTCTGAGCCCGACCAGGGGCTGCACCTAGGGATTGGGCCTGCCCTCTGCCACCCGGGAGCAGGCCTAAGTCAGCAGGTCGTTATCTCCCGAGGGGTCCCAGACTGCGAGAGGGCACAGGCCGGGCTGAGGGGCCTCCCGTCACCCCCGAGTGCAGAAATTTTTGTGCACTGGGCCTCTAGTATATATATAAAAGCCTAACCAACCAAACAAGTGGCCGGTCACTATGACACACACTAACCAGGAGGGGGCAGACACTCAATGAACAAGCTGCTGCCTGGCTGTCAGTGCACTCCCACAGCTGGAGCACCGCTCAGCGCGCCTACCAAGTGGTGGTGGCAGCAGGCGCAGTGGGGCCAGGAAACTGGAGCTGCGCTGCACCTGGCCTGGGTTCAGGCTCCTCCCCAGCCACCTGCTGCTTCGTGCACTACTACATCCCTTGGGGGATGTCAGAATGCTGGTTTTGGCCCGATCCCCGCAGGCCAGGTTGGGCCAAAACTGGCAGTCCAACATCCCCCATGGTGCTCTGGATTGCGAGATGGCACAGGCCAGGCTGAGGGACCCTACCGGTGCACGAATATGTGCACTGGACCTCTAGTAGTCTATAACAGCTTCGGGTTTGCCCTGGCTAGCTTGTTTCAGTGGTTGGGCATAGGCCTGCACACTAAAGGGCTTCAGGTTTTCCAAAAGCATGTACCTGGGCTGTAGGTTCAATTCCCCAGCTCAGGTTCGGGAGCATGCTTGGGAGCCAATCTCTCTCTCTCTCTCCCACCCCCATCCCTCCACCACTTGCCTTCCACTTTCTCTGGAAATCAATGTAGGGAAAAGTTTCAGCCAAGGTAAGAACAGTTTTTATTTTAGGGTTTGCTACTGCTGCCTTTTGAAGTTTTAGTAAATTCAAAAACTAATAGAAAACATCAGAACGCAGCTTTATTGGTTCTAAAAGCTATTAATGAAGAGAAGGGGGGAGCAAGAGGAAGCCAAATATCTAACCATTATTGAAAATATAAATTATAGAATGTTCGTAGAATGGAGTAGCATGCTAACATTAAAAATGATTTTGTATCCTGGTGGGCATGGCTCAGTGGTTGAGCATAGACCTACTAGTATAAACTAGTAGGTCTCCTGATCATGGTTGAATACCCCATCAGGGCACATGCCTAGGTTGCAGGCTTGATCCCTAGTGTGGGGTGTGCAGGAGGCAGCCGATCAATAATTCTCTCTCATCAACAAATTAACAAACAACAAGTGCTGGCGAGGATATGGAGAAAAAGGAACACTCGTGCACTGCTGGTGGGAATGCAGACTGGTGCAGCCACTGTGCAGAACAGTATGGAGTTGCCTCAAAAAACTAAAAATGGAACTCCCATTTAACCCAGTGATCCCACTTCTAGGAATATATCCCAAGAAACGAGAAACACCAATTAGAAAGGATATATGCACCCCTATATTCATAGAAGCACAATTCACCATAGCTAAGATTTGGAAACAGCCTAAGTGCCCATCAGTAGATGAGTGTATTAAAAAAGTGTGGTACATCTACACAATGGAATACTACGCTGTGGTAAAAAAAAAAAAAGAAGGTCTTACTATTTGCAACAGCATGGATGGAACTGAAGAGCATTATGCTAAGCAAAATAAGCCAGTCAGAGAAAGATAAATATCACATGATCTAACTCATTTATGGAATATAATGAACAACATAAACTGATGAACAAAAACAGATCCAGAGACAGAGAAGCATCGATCAGACCATCAAACCTCAGAGGGAAGGTAGGGGATGGTGGGGGTAAGGGGGAGAGATCAACCAGAGGACTTATATGCACGCATATAGGCCTAACTAATGAACACAGACAACAGGGGGGTGAGGGCATGAATGGGGGGGGGAGGTAATGTGGGGATAAGGACACATGTAATACCTTAATCAATAAAGAAATTTAAAATAATAATAATAATAATTCTCTCTCATCATTGATGTTTCTATCTCTCCCTCTCTTTTCCTCTCTGAAATCAATAAAAAAAAATTTTTAAATGATTTTGTAGAAGACCAGTTAATGGTAAATAAGTGTTTCATGGTATGCTTTAAATGGAAAACAAACAAAAAACAACACCGTTATAAATGTAGGCATAATGTGATTCAAACTTGTCTTTTAAAAAAACCTGTGTATAGTTTTGCTAACCTGTACCTTTTTAATTTGTAAAAGAAATGCATAATATATTTGTAATAAAAAAATGTAAAGAATGAAAAAAGTCTCAGCTTCCTTACCTTTAATGAGAACATGGTAAGAACAGTTCCAGACGCAGTGCTTAATAACTGTTAGCTATTGATATAAATGTAAGCTCTGCGGCGGTAGAGGGGCGTTCGGATTTTAAACACCTTTTTGTCTCCCACAGAGCCTAGCAACTTGCCCCCCAGCCTGCTACATATTTGATAGTATTTGCGATCAGAAGAATCCGCTAACCCCCGCGCCGCAGCTCGCACCCCAGGGCTCCTTGGAGCAGGGGACCTACACAGCCCAGAACCCAAAGCTCGGGACGCTGACGCGTCGGACCTCCTTCGCGAGCGGACGCGGGACCGGAAGTGGCGAGGGCGGGGTCCGCGCTGAAGGGAAAGTGGAGGCCCCGCGAAGATGCTGCTGGACCTGTCCGAGGAACACAAGGAGCACCTGGCCTTTCTGCCGCGAGTGAACAGCTCGGGTCCGGGGCGTGGCAACGGGGGGTGGCGTTGTGGGGTCCGGGAGGGAAGCCGCGGGAGCGCCCGGTGCTCACGGTTTCCTGGCTTCCGTTGCAGTCGTCGCCGAGTTTGGGCGGATTGCGGTGGAGTTCCTGAGGCGAGGAGCGAACCCCAAGATCTACGAGGGCGCCGCCAGTAAGAAGGGAGGGGCGCGGCCCCGCAGGCTGTGCTAGCCGTTGTCTGTAGCCCTGAGAAAGGGGTGGTTGCGTCTCCGAGGGTCTAGTGCCCTTGTGGTAGAGTAACGCCCGGAGGGCCCTTCAGTCCGGGCTCAGGGCCTGCCGGTTTCCTAAGAAGCCGTGAGGTTTTTAAAGCTTCTATCAGTCGGCTTCCTCGTGGGTAAAATAGACATACTACCGCCTGCGAGACATACCATAAGGCTTACGCTCACCGAAGTGTGTGGACTAGCCCGGTGAGCCGCATCACGCCAGTGTTCGGTTATTATTGTTCACACATTTTCTTTTGGTGAAGCATTGTTTTTTCCCGATGCAGGAGAGCAGGTTCTCAGATTAAGTCGGTTGCCGCAGGTCTGGCCTCGGGCGGCTGCATTGGTGAAGAAGGAAGGTTACAGCGGGCACTCCTGAAGGCATGGGGCTGGGAGCGAGAAGGAGCGGGACGCTGTTACCACCTCATTATTTTTAATTGTTTGAAAAAAAAAATGGAATAATGGACAATATTTAGTCTTAAATAAGAGTTTGAGTAAAAGGATAAAAACCACACAATAATTTATTTGCTCATTTTTCCTTTTTTCTCAGGAAAACTCAATGTGAGTAGTGAGACTGTCCAACATGGCGTGGAAGGATTAATATACCTGCTCACTGAAAGCTCAAAGCTCATGGTAAGGGCTTCTGTGGACTATCTTGCATTTCCCAAACCTTAGGAAGGTCATGCATACTCAACATCAGGGGTCCTCAAACTTTTTAAACAGGGGGCCAGTTCACTGTCCCTCAGACCGTTGGAGGGCTGGACTATAGTTTAAAAAAAAACTATGAACAAATTCCTATGCACACTGCACATATCTTATTTTGAAGTAAAAAACCAAAACGGGAACAAATACAATATTTGTATTTGCATGTGGCCCGCGGGCTGTAGTTTGAGGACCCCTGCTCTACATCATATTTCTGGCAATACCTGCTTATTTCAGTAATGTTATTCATGGCTTATGATTGATTTGGTGAAGCCAGGCCTAAACAATCTATACTGCGGCTGCGAGGGCCCAGGGCAGGCCAAGGAGGCTGGAGAGGTGGCAGCAGCAGAGGGGTGATGGGGGCCGTGCCTTCTCCTGATCAGTCCAGTTGCCTCCCATAGGGGAGGCCAGAGGCAGCAGCAGTGGTAGGGTGATGGGGTGCACCTTCCTCTGATTAGCATGGTCACCTCCCACAGAGGGAGACCAGACTGTGGTCCTAGACCGTCAGTAGAACATCCCCTGAGAGCTCCCGGACTGTGAAGGGGGACAGGCCAGGCAGAGGGCCCTCCCCCAGGACCCGGGTGCCTGCAGCAGGCCAGAGGAGAGAAGCCTGGGTCCTGGGTGTGGGGGCCGAGGCAGAGGCAATTAGGGGTGATCAGATATGCAGAGGAGCAGTTAGGGGTGATCAGGCTGGCAGGGGAGCAGTTGGGGGCGATCAGGAGTCCTGGGTGCCTGCAGCTGGCCTGGGTGAAGCCACCCCGGTCCCGGGTACCTGCTGCTGGACAGAGGGAGGGAAGCCCGGGTCCCAGGTGCCTGTGGCTGGCCAGAGGAGGAAAGCCTGGGTCCCAGGTGCAGGGGCTGAGGCAGAGGCAGTTAGGGGTGATCAGGTAGGCAGGCAGGTGAGTGCTTAGGAGCCAGCAGTCCCAGATTGCGAGAGGGATGTCCGACTGCCGGTTTAGGCCCAAACCTGCAGGATTTGGGCCTAAACCGGCAGTCGGACATCCCCCAAGGGTCCCGGATTGGAGAGGGTGCAGGCCGGGCTGAGGGAGCCACCCCCTACCCCCTCTCCCCCGTGCACGAATTTCGTGCACTGGGCCTCTAGTGTATAACAATCTGCTGTCATGCATACCTTCATCTATAATAATAATAAGGTAATATGCTAATTAGACCGGATGTCCTTCAGGACAAAGCCGGGTCCCCGGTGCCCTCCAGCTGCTGGAGGGAAGCCTGCCAGAGGGAAGCCAGTGCTGGCAGCCGGTGGAAGGAAGGCCTACTCTTGCATGAATTTTGTGCATGGGGCCTCTAGGGTTAGTGTAAATTAAAATTGCCATTAATTCTGCATGTTACTGAACCATATACCATAGTATGTATCCTAAGAGAAGGGAGAATATAGTGATTTACCTTTTTGCATATTAGCAGCATCTGGCGTGATATAGAACAGGAGAGAAAACGGGGCATTTTAATAATTCTTTATTTTTATATTTTAATAAAGTATTTTTTTGTCTCAGAAACTCAGATTTTAAAATAGTGAGCAAGGGTTGCCTTTAATTAAGGAGTGTTGTTTCTTTTACCAGACAGAATTTGGGGATTTATCAAAAGAATTCAGGGATTTCATATTCTTTTGTGTAGTAGTATATCAACTGTTTTAGCATTTTCTAGACAAAGATAAATTTTGATGTTCTGTTAAACTCAATCACTTTAGATTTCCGAACTGGATTTCCAAGACTCTGTTTTTGTTCTGGGATTCTCAGAAGAATTGAACAAATTGTTGCTTCAGTTTTATCTGGATAACAGAAAGGAGATCAGAACTATTCTGAGTGAACTGGCACCAGACCTCCCCAGTTACCACAGCCTTGAATGGCGACTAGATGTACAGGTATGGCTTTTTATTGTTATTAATCTGAATTAGATACAAGATTAATTTTAGGTTTATGTCCTCAGGCCTATTCTTTACCACCTTAACCAAACTCTGGTTTGAAACTTGAGAGGTTTTGTTTGTTTGTATGTCTTTTAGGTAACATTTTTTTAAAATTTATCTTTATTGTTGAAAATATTACAGGTGTCCCCTTGTTTCCCCTCAGTGGCCCCCTGCCCCCCATTTTAATCCCCTCCCCAGGCCTTTTAACCAAAGAACTTACATGCATATATGCATAACCCATAGACATAGACAATAGTGTGGTGAAGGCCTGAAACTAGTTTTTTAATGTTCATTTTTCAGGCCATTTCACAAATAGTTCATTTTCTTATATTTTTAATGTGTCACATCAGTTTAATTTGCAAAGTTTGTAAGAAATAGGTTATTTTGGAAAAGGAGATGGTTATGCAGATTTTCTTCAGTGATGCTTAGATTTTTTAAAACCTTTTTGTTTAAATAAATACACACATAGAAAAGTGCACAGGTCAGTGAATGTACAGTTCAATGAGTTATCTCATGGTGAAAATACCCATGAAACCAACACTTACCCATGACCAGCATCCCAAAAGTGTCTTCCTCATCTCCTGCCAACTACTTCCCCTTTTTTCTTTTCCTGATTTCTAATACATAGATTACTTTTGCTGCTCTTTAACTTTATGTATATGGAATGATTCAGCAGTGCTCTTTTGTGCCTGGCTCTGGCTTCTGTACATATTATATTTGTGAGATTCATTTGTTTTTAAAGCCATATAGATAACCAAAAGGTAGTTGTCAGACTATTGCATGTAACCCTTCTTCAAACAGTGACAGATTAAGAGATGTTTATTGATTGTCATCCATTTACTTTGCTAAATGCTTTGGGAAACAAAGTGTAAGATGCTTTCTCAGCTGGAAAAGATATTGTCATTTAGGAATATTAGATGTTCTCGAAATACCCTGTAATTAAAAATAGTTATGGCCCTAGCCGGTTTGGCTCACTGGATAGAGCGTTGGCCTGGGGACTCAAGGGTCCCAGGATCGATTCCAGTCAAGGGCATGTACCTTGGTTGCAGGCACATCCCCAGTAGGGGGTGTGCCGGAGGCAGCTGATCGATGCTTCTCTCTCATCGATGTTTCTAACTTTCTATCCCTCTCCCTTCCTCTCTGTAAAAAATAAATAAAATATATAGTTTAAAAAAAATAGTTATGAAATACTAGAGGCCCGATGCTTAGATTCATGCACCGGTGGGTTCCCTTGGCTTGGCCTGTGGGGATCGGGCCGAAACCGGCTCTCCAACATCCCCTGAGGGGTCCCGGATTGCGAGAGGGTGCAGGCCAGGCCAAGGGACCCCACTGGTGCACGATTGGGACTGGCGAGGGACCGCGGGAGGGGTCCAGGGCATGTCCAGCCCATCTCTCCCAGTCCCAATTGGCCATACCCCAGCAGCAGGCTAACCAACCAATTGGAGTGTCTGCCCCCTGGTGGTTAGTGCGCATCATAGTGACTGGTCGAACAGTTGGACACTTAGCATATTAGGCTTTTTTATTATATAGGACTAGGGGCTCAGTGCACGAATTCGTGTACCTTAAGAGGAACTGTGAGCCACGAGGCTGTGGTGGGCACAGGAGCAGGTATTGGCCCATCCTCCGCACCCCCACCCGGCCCCTCTCACCGTGGCCCCCCAGTCCCCTGTCTGCCAGCAGCCCCGCTCCCGCTGCCCCCACACACTGACAGCACTGGCCCCACTCATACCTGCTGACGGCACAGGGTGATTGGGGCTGGTGCCAGCAGTGGGTGTGAGCGGCGGCTGCTGTCCTGATTGCCCCTCAGGAGCAGGGGGAGGTGGAGAAGCCCTCAGGGGCGATAGGGGCCTGCAGCCGTTGCTCGCACCCGCTGACAGCACCAAGTGATCGGGGCCGGCACCATGCGCCAGCAGCAGGTGTGAGCGCCCAGCGGGACTGCAGCGTGCGGGAACAAAGTATTTTCAGTAATGACCAGAGGCTTGCTGCGATGACAGTGACTGGTGCCCTACCTATGTCTGGAACCCCCACTCACCTGCTCCACCATCCCGCCATGGCCAATGCTCACCATGTTCCACGCTCTGCCTCCTGCTGCCAACACCCGCCATGTTCTGCACATGCCCCCTGGTGATCAGCGCATGTCATAGTGACCAGTTTTTCGGTTGTTCCACTGTTGGGTCTATTTGCATAGTAGGGTTTTATATATATAGATGGTTTTGGAGGAGGGAAAAGAATAGAATTGTGTAAATCAAGATACACTGAGTGTTTCAAAAAAGCTGTAGTTCAGGTAGTTCGGTGAATGTACACAGGAATGATTCAGAAAAGTCTGAACAAAAGGGGGTGAAATCTCAGAAGGATAAATGAATAAAGAAAACTAGGATAAATATTCTTGACAGAGGAGACAGTGTAAGCTGTAAAGGCCCACATGCATATGGGAATAAGCATGTTGAATATATCAGCGGTCGCCAACCTTTCAGACCTCACAGATCACCAGTTGGCAACCGCTGGAATATGTGGTTTTTAGCACACTAGCCTAGCCAAACTGAACTGCATATTGGAATGACCTGGGAGCTTTAAAAAATTCTGTGCTCCATTCCCCACCCCACTTCCCTAGAGATTCTGACTTATTGGTATGGGGTTTGGCCAGGGCATCAGTATTTTCTTAAAATAAGTTTTTTATTGATTTAGGGAGAGAGGAAGGGAAAGGGAGAGAAAAAGAGAAACATCAACATGAAAGAGAAACATCAGTTGGTTGCTCCCGCACATACCTCGACTGGGGATGTAACCCGAAACCTGGGCATTTGTCTTAACTGGGAATCAGAATCAAACCAGTGACCTTTCAGTGCATAGGATGATGCTTATCCAACTGAACCATAATGGCCAGGGTTTAGGATTTTTTTAAAAGCTATCCATTTACCCAGGTCATTCTAATATGCAAAAAAGCTTGTAAACCACTGTACCATGGATTCTTCCTGACTTGAATAGGTGGTCCAAATAGGTTATAGAAATTCTTTTTTTTTTTACATATATTTTATTGATTTTTTACAGAGAGGAAGGGAGAGAGATAGAGAGCCAGAAACATCGATGAGAGAGAAACATCGATCAGCTGCCTCCTGCACATCTCCCACTGGGGATGCGCCCGCAACCCAGGTACATGCCCCTGACCGGAATCGAACCTGGGACCTTTCAGTCTGCAAGCCGACGCTCTAGCCACTGAGCCAAACTGGTTTCGGCAATTGGTCCACTTTTTTGTGTCTCACAAGTCCCTTAGTCTCTGTTTACTTTTCTTCATTCTTTTTTTTTTTTTTTAATTAAATCTTTATTGTTCAGATTATTACATTTGTTCCTCTTTTTCCCCCCCATAACTCCCCTCCTCCCAGTTCCCGCCCCGCCCTCCGCCCTCACTCCCCACCCACTGTCCTCATCCATAGGTGCACAATTTTTGTCCAGTCTCTTCCCGCATCTCCCACACCCCTTTCCCCCCCAAGAATAGTCAGTCCATTCCCTTTCTATGTCCCTGATTCTATTATAATCACCAGTTCATTCTGTTCATCAGATTATTTATTCACTTGATTCTTAGATTCACTTGTTGATAGATGCATATTTGTTGTTCATAATTTGTATCTTTACCTTTTTCTTCCTCTTCCTCTTCTTAAAGGATACCTTTCAGCATTTCATATAATCCTGGTTTGGTGGTGATGAACTCCTTTAGCTTTTCCTTATCTGTGAAGTTCTTTATCTGACCTTCAATTCTGAATGATAGCTTTGCTGGATAAAGTAATCTTGGTTGTAGGTTCTTGGTATTCATCACTTTGAATATTTCTTGCCACTCCCTTCTGGCCTGCAAAGTTTTTGTTGAGAAATCAGCTGACAGTCGTATGGGTATTCCCTTGTAGGTAACTGAGTTTCTTTCTCTTGCTGCTTTTAAGATTCTCTCTTTGTCTTTTGCTCTTGGCATTTTAATTATGATGTGTCTTGGTGTGGTCCTCTTTGGATTCCTTTTGTTTGGGGTTCTCCGCGCTTCTTGGACCTGTAAGTCCATTTCTTTCACCAGGTGGGGGAAGTTTTCTGTCATTATTTCTTCAAATAGGTTTTCAATATCTTGCTCTCTCTCATCTTCTGGCACCCCTATAATTCTGATGTTGGTACGCTTGAAGCTGTCCCAGAGGCTCCTTACACTATCCTCGCATTTTTGGATTCTTTTTTCATTTTGCTTTTCCGGTTGGGTGTTTTTTGCTTCCTCGCATTTCAAATCATTGACTTGATTCTTGCGCTCCTCTGGTCTGCTGTCGGGAGTCTGTATAATATTCGTTATTTCAGTCCATGTATGCTTAATTTCTAGTTGGTTCCCCAATATAACATCGAGGGTCTCATTAATTTTCTTGTAGATCTCATTAAGTTTATCGGCGGCTTCTAAACAGTTCTTGAGAGACCTTAAAAGTGTGGTTCTGAACTCTATATCTTCCATTGACAATTTTGTCCTGTTCTTTGTCTCCGCATTTTGTTATGCTTCCTTGGTGCACCCCCTAGTGGTCTTTGTTCGCAGTCTTATAGTTAAACCTTGATTGTTGGAGCTAATACCAGGGAGGGTTTGACCTCCAGGCCAAGTGGCTGTGAGAATCAGCTGTGTCAGCAGTGAGAGAACTTCTGTCCTCTAGGGAGGTGCTAATCTAGCCTTTGCCTGAGGCTATCCGGCAAATGCCGCTGTGCAGGGCTTGGGCGGGGCGGGTCACACAGGATCAACAGGGTGGGCCGGAGAGAGCAGTTATGGCGGCTCTCAGTCCCGTCCCCAGGGGCTCTGCCTCTCTGAGTCCCAGCACCTGCTGCAAAGCTCGGAGAGAAAGCTGCACTCGCTCTGACCGAAGCCAGACAGTCCCGCTTCTCCTGTTTGAGTCTGGGTCGCTAAAGACTCGCCCGGATCTGGAGCTCAGAGTCTGTGACTCCCTCCCGATTGAAAACGC